CATGATAAAAACATTAAAAAACTAGGAAGAGAAGGAAATTACCTCAACATAATAAATGTCATACATGAAAAGTGTACAGCTAACATACTCAATGGTGAAAAACTGAATGTTTTTCCTCTAAGATCATGAACAAGGCAAGGATGTCCACTCTTGCCACTTCTATTCAACACAGTACTGGAAGTCCTACCCAGAGCAACTAGGCAAGAAAAAGAAATAAGCATTTGAATTGGAAAGGTAGAAATAAAATTATCTCTGTTCACAGATGACATGGTCTTATATGTAGAAAACCCTAAAGATTCCACAAAAATACTATTAGGACTAATGAATAAATTCAGCAAAGTTGCAGGATACAAAATCAACCCTCAAAAATCAGTTGTGGGGCTTCCCTGGTGGCGCAGTGGTTGAGAGTCCGCCTGTCGATGCAGGGGACACGGGTTCATGCCCTGATCTGGGAAGATCCCACATGCCGCGGAGCGGCTGGGCCCGTGAGCCATGGCCGCTGAGCCTGTGTGTCTGGAGCCTGTGCTCCGCAACGGGAGAGGCCACAGCAGTGAGAGGCCCGCGTACCGGAAAAAAAAAAAAAAATCAGTTGTGTTTCTTACACTAACAATGAACAATATAAAAAGAAAACTAAGAAAATAATCCCATTTATAAGAGCATCAAAAAGAATTAAATACTTAGGAATAAGCTTAACCAAGGAAGTGAAAGACATACATTGAAAACTACAAAACATTGCTGAAAGAAAGAAAAGAAGACAAAAATAAATGGAAAGACATCCCATTCATGTTCATGTTCTTGGATTAGATATAACATTATTAAAATACTACCCATACTACCCAGTCATCTAGAGATTCAATTCAATCCCTCTCAAAATCCCAATGGCATTTTTTGCAGAAATAGAAAAGCCATCCTAAAATACATATGGAATCTCAAGGGAACTTAAATAACCAAAACAATCTTGAGAAAGAAGAACAAAGCTGGGGCCTCACACTTCCTGATTTCAAAACATATTACAAAGCTACAGTAATCAAAACAGTGTAGTACTGGCATAAAGACAGACGTATAGACTAATGGAACAAAATAGAGAGCCCAGAAACAAACCCTTGCATATATGGTCAACTGACCTTTGACAAGGGCACTAAGGCTATATAATGGGGAAAGGATAGTCTCTTCAACAGATGGTGTTGGGAAAACTAGATATCCACATGCAAAAGAATCAAGAGGAAGCCTCATCTTACACCACATACAAAAATTAACTCAAAATGAATTAGAGATCTAAATGTATTAAATGAAAGTATAAAACTCCTGGAAGAAAAAACATAGAGGGAAATCTTCATAACATTGGAATGGAAATGATTTCCTGAAAATGACACCACAAGCACAGGCAACAAAAGCAAAACCAAACAAATGGAACTACATCAAACTTAAAAATGTCTGCACAGCCAAGGGAACAATAAACAGAGTGGAAAAGTAACCTATGAAATTGGAGAAAATATTGCAAATCATGTATCAGATAAGGGGTTAATATCCAGAATATTTAAAGAACTCCTACAACTTAACAACAATAATAAAAATAACCAATTAAAAAACAGGCAAAGGACTTACACAGATATTTCTCCAAAGAAGATATATAAATGGCCAAAAAGCATATGAAAAGATGCTCCATATCACTAATCATCAATGAAACACGAATCAAAACAACAATGAAATATCACCTCTCAATCATTAGGATGGCTAATATTAAAAAAAAATAACAAAAACAACAGAAAACAACAAGTATGAGCAAGGATGTAGAGAAAAATGGAACTCTTGCACACTGCTGGCAGCAATGTAACGTGGTGTGGCTACTATGAAAAACAGTACAGAGATTCCTCAAAAAATCAAAAATAGAACTACCATATGATCCAGCAATCCTATTTCTGGGTATATATCCAAAAGAAAACAGGATCTCAAAGAGATATTTGCACACCCATGTTCATTTTAGCATTATTCACAATAGTCAAGATGTATAAGCAACTTAGAACATCCATCAATGGATGAATGGATCAGTAAAATGTGATATTGATACATATACATCTGTACACACACACACACACACACACACACACACACACACACAAAATGGAATATTATTTGGTCATAAAAAAGAAGGAAATCCTAACAAATGCTACAACATGGATGAACCTTGAGGACGTCATGCTAAGTGAAATAAGCTAATTATAAAAAGACATACTGTGGGCTTCCCTGGTGGCGCAGTGGTTGAGGGTCCGCCTGCTGATGCAGGGGACACGGGTTCGTGCCCCGGTCCGGAAAGATCCCACATGCCACAGAGCAGCTGGGCCCGTGAGCCATGGCCGCTGGGCCTGCGTGTCCAGAGCCTGTGCTCCGCAACGGGAGAGGCCACAACAGTGAGAGGCCCACGTACCGCAAAAAAAAAAAAAAAAGACATACTGCATGATTCTATTTATAAGAGGTCTCTAAAGTGACCAAACTCACAGAAGCAGAAAGTAGAATGGTGGTTGCCAGGGCTGAGGAGAGAATAGGGGAGTTGTTTCTGAATGGATACAGAGTTTCAGTCATTCAAGATGGAAAAGCTATAGAGATCTGTTGTACAACAACGTGCGCATAGTGAACAATACTGTACTGTATATTTGTAAAAATTGTGAAGAGGGTAAATTGCATTTTTTGCCACAATGAAAGAAAAAAAGATATGAGACAATAATGTCAGGAGCCAACACCTTGCTATATAATATTGTACACTGCCACATGAGCCGGCAAGAAATAATAGAAGCTAACTGAATAAACCATAATAGCATCCTTCTAATTACCTATATAAGAATAGGCTTAAATTAAGTCAAGTGTTTTGGATCTGAGACAGAGCTCTCTCAGATGCACAAACAAAAAATAAATTAAAATTTACAGGAAAATGATTATATAATAATTTATCTATTTTAAAATATTTTATCAGGTATTTGCACTTGAAGATTCTTCCTAGTATTCAGATACAAATTTTCTATCAGAATAAACTGATCATAGAGAAGATCATCAGCATTCCAAAATGTCCTTGGTATTAGCCAACAGCACAATAATTGTACCATTTTCCCATCTGTTTTCATTGCTGGGAATCTTAAGAAGGCATCTGTAACTCCATGCCTGCCAGAATCTCACTTAATTGACTTAAGATTGAAATCACTTAAAATTCCTATGCTTAAGATTTATTCTCAGCTTGTCACGACTTAAAATGACATGCCCCATCATGATTATAAGACACAGTTGTGCTTTTATATCTACAATAATTAAACCCATTTGTATCTACTTAAAATAGATACAAATATACACACACAACTACACACACAAAAACTCCAACCTGCATCTATTTTCCCATGCTTAGAAGTAAAATAATGCATATAATTGCAGTGATCATACATCCAGAGTTTACCAGAAGTCTGAATCCCAGTTTCCATTTTTTATTAATGTTTATAGATAATGTCTACTGGTGAATAGATAAAATCCTGAGAAGTCTTAATATCTTAACATTGGAAGAAAAGGAAATGAGGAGAGAAATGGTGAAGAACTGTACAAGGAACTGACCTGGGCTTTGTGGTGAAATGGAAGATCAAACCAAATTCAGAGGATATTCTCCCCATGGAAATAAGATAAATGTCCCCTCTCATCCCCCAGGGAAAGGAAAGGAAAAAAGATTTACATACTGCTTTTTTTTTTTAGTTGTTTGAAGCCAAAATCTAACCAAATAAAAAATGACCAAAATAAAGAACTCAGGAATGAAGCCAGTAAAATTGGGACTGGTGGGCTCTGAATCTATTTAAATGTGGAAGAAAGGCTTTTTTTTAAAGTGGGAATTATGGTTATAGAACACAATATAAATATTATAACCTTTACAATGTAAAATAACACAAAACTAAAATCTGGAGGATAAGAGGAGCTGAGATGGAAATAAATGTAAGAAGTTAGTATTCTCATCTTTCATAGCAAGGAGTAAATCAATATTAGTTAAAATACAAATATGTAGTTTTTTAAATAATGATTTTCATTTCTTAATGTTTTTCATAATCACTTCAACACTTAAGACAATATTTCTTAAAAAGCCCTCTGATGAAGAAACAATTTCTCAAAAGTTCCATAATTCCTCTAGTTTCACATCAGTTTCTTTTTCTTCTATTAAATTCAAATAAGATTAAATATAATGTTTCTTACTATAAAGTAACTCATGTAATATATGTCCATTAATCCATTCATCCCTCTATCTGTATGTATCTATATGGATGCAGAGATGCCTGGTGTGCATCTAACAGTTCATTTCTGAATGATGGGAACTGGTGGCTTTTAAAATTTTTATTCTTTATACTTTGCTGCACTGTTTGGATTATTTATGGCACATATGCACAATTTTTATTTAAAAAGGACATAGTGAGTGAGAAGGCCTACTGAAGGTTTTATATATGCTCAGGACAACCCTTCGAACTTTCAGAGAGAAAAATCTGCTGATCACCTACTGAGTCTCTCTAAAATTCTTCCAGGCTGACAGTAAGGAAAGTGGGGCACTGGAAATGCTATAGTTCCAACATTTAGGAACTTTTAAAACAGGGATCAAAACATTCACAAAAGAGGTCTTTTCTTAACCCATGATGTAATTAATCTTCATGATCTTAGAATGGTCACAGTTCTTTATAACTACCACAGAATATTTCCACAGTTCATTACAACTACCATTATAATTACAGTGCTATATTGGATTTCAAAACAACACTTCAAGGCATTTTCAAAACAACAACACTTCAAGGCATTAAAATATCATTTTATGAATACATAGTCTATCTTCTATTCTACCTTTAATAAGGTACTACTCCTAAATCTGCCTAAATGAAATAAATATGTCCAAGGGGAATAGATATAGCTCATCTAAGTCAAATGCATATCTGTGAATCAAAACAATAAATCTTATATATGAATTATCTAATATACTTAAATAAGACACATACCAGCAGAGGTGCTTCCATTGTCTTAATAAAACGATGAATGTTCAGTGTAGTCAATGACTGTTCCATTAGTGTTCTCCTACATTGCTGGGTCAAGTCCAAGACTGGTTTACAATGAAAAAAATAGAGATGTGCGTATTCTATATCTTCAGTGCTGTAAATTAAAAATTAGGGACAGACCCACTTGAAGTTCAACGTGTGATCCTTCTATCATACAGAAAGATATAACAAATCTCTTTGTCCATGCTTTTGAATTACTGTTTTGGTAAAATCCTAAAACAGTATAACAAAATAAAATGGACCTAAGCAAAAAAGAGGATATAAGAAATTTCTGAGCTGTATAAACTTTTTTTTTCCTGAATTCTTTCATATGGTAGCTTCTAAATTAGAGACAGGTCTACACAATCTTTTTTTTTTAGATAAAAGACTGTCACCTTGAGGACAATGAGATTATCTTAAAGTATAGTAGCTTTTCTATAGCTGTGCTAAATAAATAAAGCTTTGTAATACAAATTTTCTAGGTTTAATTTAAACCCAAATCTGTTTTGAATAAACTTCAGCCAAAACATACCTTAAGATAGAAACCATGTGACACTTTGTGGGAGTTAGTGAGTTCGTATCTGAAATATTACAAAACTCAGCAAATATGGCTTATAATTTGAGTTTTGGCATTCCCTTCAATATGAGAATTCAAAGATAAACTTATAGTGAGTAAGTAAGGTTTGCCAAAATTAAAACAGCATTTTATAAATCTCCATATGGCATTAGTAGAGTTTGGCAAAATACTGCAAATTTTTATTTTTACAATATTATTTTAATTCTTGATACATGCTTCAACTGAGCTCCAAGATTCACTGATTTCAAATTTAATTGCAAAGTAATTTCTAAAAGATTCAGTGATTAAAGAAATGATCATTCAAAGATTACTTAATGCCTACACTGTTAGGCCCTATGCTAAATATAAGAGAATAAGATGAATAAGATGATTCAAGTCCTTGAGGGGCTTAGGCTAAAGGACATATATTTAGTAAAAAAATGAAAATGTGATTCATAAGTGCTAGAATATACAAAGTGCTATGAGAAACAAAGAAATATTTAATTCTGCCTTAAGTCAGGAAAGAGAAGAAAGGGAAGGGAAGGGAAAGGAAGGGAAGGGAGATCATCATAGAGACTGAAAACAGTAAGAGAGAATGACTTCTCCAAGAAGATAAGACTAATGGGTATTTCAGACAAAAGGAACTATATAGCCAAGACCCAAACAAAGTATATAACTTTTTGAGAGGAACGGTAAATAGTCACATATTGCTGAAAGGAAAGTGTTGAGAGCAAGAGGACCCAGCTGAGATTGGACAACCTATCATAACCTCTGAAATAATAAAATAATGTTGGAAAGTTATTTAATTAGGGATCATTTGGTTGTAGGTAATAGACACCAAAAAGGTGGGAGTGAGGGGGATTTACTGGTAGTTTAGAAGAGCATCTCACAGAATACAAGGAAAATTCAAGTAACTGGATCACAGGATAAATGTATATAGATCTGAACAGCAAGAGTTCAGGGACATTTGGCCATCAACACTTTTTACCTCCCCACTCTCTCTGCTTTACTTCTACATGAGCAAAACATTCCTGCGGGCAAGAGAGCCAAAATGCTGTATAGTCCAGCTTCTCCATGCCCAATTCCAAGTTCCTAGAAAAAGGTATCTTATCTGCTCAGGTAAGTCCATGGATTGGATGACTCTAGGTCAGGTGGCCACCTCCAACTTAATTGACTGTGATATGTATGAGGTAGGGGTAACACCCTTCTTAGCCTATACACAGATTCTTTAAGAAGGGAATACGGGGAGGTAGCAGAAAGTACTGGTGTCTCTACAGCATGCTACCTCTTGTTCTACCTATCACATATACCCTTCTTTTTTTATTTTTTTACCATTTAAAAAAATTATTGGAGTATAGTTGATTTACAATGTTGTATTAGTTTCAGGTGTATAGCAAAGTGAATCAGATATATACATATATATATCCACTCTTCTTTAGATTCTTTTCCCATATAGGCCATTACAGAGCATATATACCCTTCTTAACCGACATTTCAAACATACTCAGGCCCAACATGATATAACAATTAATATACTAGATTATTCAATGTTATAGCCCCAGCAACTAGAATAGTGCCTAGAACATAGAAGGCATGCAATAAATATTTGTTGAATGAAAGAATGAACAAAGGAAAGAAAAAAATAAAAAGAACAAATGAGAGAAAAGATACGTTCACCTCTTCCCCATTAGGAGACAACTCGAAGTCATCACTAAGTACTTCACTCAGAAGTGATGTCCCAGGACTACATTATTCTGAATCCACAGTCCTTCCCTATCACATCAGGTCCAGATATGACTCCTCACCATTTTGTAGCCATGAATAAATGAGAATGAAAACTTCTCCAATATGTCATGTACTCAAAAGTTTACGAAAAACAGAATAACTGTACATTTTTAAACTCTCATTTTTAAAATGGGGGAAAGCATAAATCCTTCAAGAATATCAATATATAGTCTGTCTTGCTGAAGAGTATTTGTAAAACAAATGAGAGGACTTATACCTTGCCAATAAATAACCAAACCTCTATGTTTTAAGCATGTCACCGTTACTTGCAATTATTCATTAACAGAAAAATCAAGAAGCTAGTAATGCAAGAGAAAATACAAACAACCCTCAGAGAAAGTGTGGGGCTAGCACAGAATCCTAATGGGACTGAGAATCTCAAGGTTCCCCCATTCCAAGATGGGAAATTGGTAGTCTACATTGGGAGGAGCAAAGTAGCTGGCTACGCTACTGCTCACTGTAAGTATCTTGAGATTCAGTGACTACTTACCGTAAAGTTTTAGGGTACCGTCAGCATGATGCTCAAATTGTTAAAAACATTAATTCTTATACAAATAGCAAACATGCATCAAAGTTTTATTTAACTCGCTGAGGGAACCAGCAGAATGGCAGTTCAATAAGAAGATAGAAAAAGGAATGATGGTTAATGTCGTACAGAGCAATAAAAACATAACTTTTCTTTGCAAGCACTTCACTCTCTGCCTATCCACTCCCCGCAAAAAAAAAAAAAAAAAAAAAAATTGTTTCACTTTATCAGTTTTCTGTGTACTAACCTCCATGTTTACAAAGTTGTAAAATGTCTGGGATTTAATTAATTGTGTGTGGTATATCAAATAGTCACTATTCTCTGAGAGGTGAGCAGGAGGGCTCGTTAAAAACTCTTGCATGGGGCTTCCCTGGTGGCGCAGTGGTTGAGAGTCCGCCTGCCAATGCAGGGACACGGGTTTGTGCCCCGGTCCGGGAAGATCCCACATGCCGCGGAGCGGCTGGGCCCGTAAGCCATGGCCGCTGAGCCTGCGCGTCCGGAGCCTGTGCTCAGCAATGGGAGAGGCCACAGCAGTGAGAGGCCCGTGTACCGCAAAAAACAAACAAACAAAAAAACTCTTGCATGGTTTAAAAAGGTCACACAATCACCATTTTGCCCTGCTTTGGATTCATTTTCCTGAAGAGCATTTTGAAGCCAAACTTAGAAGTCTTCAAATGCACTGGTTATTCCTTGTGTCCCCACGTACTAACCAGAAGAAAAACTTTAACCCTAGGTTGCCCAGCCAAAAGCAGTCCAAAGAAGGTCTCTACCTAAAATTGTAAGCTAGAAACTAGACAAGAAAATTAAACATGTAAAACATTCTGTTCAAAACTGTACTCAAATATATTTAAGATTTTTCTGGTATAGTAACTTATGGAACTCTCAGGAAGAATCTCTGGAGCTTAGTTATGAAAGCTGTTATTTTATCACCTATCTGATCACTGTGGCAGATCTATTCGTAAAATACACGTGGCCACTCAAGGGATCACATCTTGTGGCTTATGCATACTGCCTTCGTTCACCTTAGTTTAACATCCCTTCTGTATATTTAAGTTCATTTTAGTACAGCAGATAATAGTAATGAAGAGGATTTCAGGTTTCATTTATATATTCACATCTGGTTACGATTCCCCTCAGATAAGTCCACATTGTGGGAGTATAATGGAAATGCTGAATAAGTAATGTGAAATAAGTGAACTTAAAATTGTTAACTTATGCTTCTTATACATACCCAATACTTTGCAAAAGGGCAATTTCTGTGGTTAAGACAAATTGGTACGTGGTCCCATACACAAAAGCAGCTTCCATGACTGCTCTGTGCTCTGAAGAAGAGAGAAAGAAGTTGGGAGAGAGGAGGAGTTATTCTATTCAGAATACTTTCATACACCCTTTTATGCTCTATTATGTTTAAATAAAAAGCCTTTGTAGGAATCCCAGTTGGGAAAATACAGGCAGTTAAAGAAGTTATAAAAAGTCTGTTCTAGTTAAGGTAAGAGAAGAACTAAGAGGGAATAGAAAATGAGCTATACTTGAGAATATATGACAAATCTGTGATAGTTTCTTCCCAGTAGTAGGGAAAAGAATATGAGTTCATCATACAACTTTCATGTTATATTTTATATACAAATATTGTACACTATTTCTGGCTTAGTTTTTTTTAATCAAACTTATTCTTATATATAGTTTAAAGAGACAATTCTACAACGTGTATTAAGAAAATGAACAGTTCCTCCACCCTCAGCCACCATTTCCAACTCCCAAGGGACAGCTACTTTCAACTCTTTTACTCTTCCTTTCGGTATTTACCTCCAAGTCTCTAAATGACCTTCTTATACTCTTATTTCCTGATTTTTTTTTCTTTTAGTGTTAGTATTTTCTATCAACTTCCCACTATGGAAGATGATAAATTAGCTCTCCTTTCCAAAACCCCACTCCACAAATATACACAATTCTATGCCCTCAACGTGCTCAATATAGTCCTAATTTTTATTAGATCAATAGTCAGGATTTACACTGTTTTGAAATTTTTTTCACTACAGTTATAGGTATCTTTTAAAATTTTTGTTTAGATTTCTTGCTAATTTATTCCTAAATTCTTCCACAGTTGTCTAACACTCTGAATACTTCAAATACATCGGTTATATTATCAATTCCCTCTTGTTGCAGACATTTTTGCAGAGCCTGCTGATGTGCTCCAACGTGGACTCTGCTGCTCGACCCGCTGCACAACTTTCATCCTGGGGACTCACTTCATTGTCACCCTGGGGATGCTCCGATTCTCATTCTTACGTTGGGCCCTTGGCCTGTTACCCACATCTTCTTGACTAATTTGTTCCCTTGCTCCCATTCTCTAGCTCCTTCCTGGGAGAGGATATATGAATACACAAATTTTGCAACCTTACACTTCTCAAAGCGTCTTTATTCTACTTTCATAACTACAGTTGTTGGCATGTAGCATTCTAGCATTTCCCCTGAGAATTTTGAAAGCATAGCTCCACTGTCTTCAGCTCCCAGGACTGCAGTTGAGAAGTCCAAAGCCATTCTGATTCTTTTTCTTTTTTTAATTTATTTATTTTTAATTAATTTATTTATTTTTGGCTGCATTGGGTCTTCATTGCTGCGCACGGGCTTTCTCTAGTTGCGGTGAGCAGGGGCTACTCTTCCTTGTGGTGCGCAGGCTTCTCATTGCAGTGGCTTCTCTTGTTGCGGAGCATGGGCTCTAGGCACGTCGGGCTTCAGTAGCTGTGGCACATGGGCTCTGCAGTTGTGGCTCGCGGGATCTAGAGCATAGACTCAGTAGTTGCAGCACACAGGCTTAGTTCCTCTGCGGCGTGTGGGATCTTCCCGGACCAGGGCTTGAACCCGTGTCCCCTGCGTTGGCAGGCGGATTCTTAACCACTGTGCCACCAGGGAAGTCCCGCCTTCTGATTCTTGATCCTTTAACTGCAATATTTTTTCCTTTCTTAAAGATTTTAGAATAGCGTTTGTTGCCAATATTCTGAAAATTCAATATGAGATGCTCTGGTGTGGCTCTACATTTAAACACTCTGCTGCGATTCAGTGGGCCCTTTCAATTTGGAAGCTCAAAATCCCTCAGTTCTGGGAAATTTTCTTAAAGTATTTCTTTGAAGATTCCTTCCTTTTCATATCTTATTTTCCCTTTTCTCCTCACTGCCATTTCTAGGTAGTTATCTTCCCCTCCCCGACCTAATCTTCTACCACTTGAATCACATATCATCAGATTATTCCACTCACCACTCTGCCTTGTTGGAGTCATCTACAACCCGAGCCAGGGTTAATCCCCCTCATTCCATGAAAAATTTTGCTTCTGTCACACTGTCACACTCTCCAATACTACTAACATAACCTTGGTGATTTTACTATCCCCATAGATGATCCTTGCAAAATCCTAGCCTTTCAGTCCTTGGTTTTCTCTGGAGACTCCAGTGATCTCTCTTCAGCCCTGCCTTACCCACTCACTGCCATGGTCCCACTCCAAGCTTTGTAATCACCAATCACTGCAAATCCCTCCAAAATGTCCAGCACTCCTCCCAACACACACACACACACACACACACACACACACACACCCTTCCATCTCCAGGTCACTCTGTCTAGTACATAACTTTAACCTTCCCGGACCTACAATCCTACCATTTTCACTGTCCTTTATCCACCTTGGGTCCTCTCTTCCCTCCTAAACCAGCTTAAATTCCATGGTCAGTCTTTATAATCACTCCCCCGCCTGTCTAGCTAAAACACAGTCCAAATTAAATCAAATAATCTGCCTATTCTGTACTTACATCCATGAAAGTGAATATGGCTGGGAAAAAAAAAAAAAGGAAAGAAAACAAGAACCTGCTAGCATCACCATGTCAATGGTTTCACTTTAGATTACTAGCATCAACTATTACTGCTGCCTAGCAACCATTCTTTATTTTCAGGCCTTCTAAAACAACTGTTTCATCTCTTCTTTCCTCAAACTATATGTTCACTATATTTCTATTTCATTGAGAAAATGAACCAGTTAAGAAAAACCCAAAAAAGCTCCCAGCACCATATCTATCTGCCCCCTTAACTAAATTGATGTCCATATTCTCTGTCTTCCCTCCTAATACCACAGGCGAATTTTCTGTGCTCCCAGTAAAGAACCAGACCTCCCCCTGTTCACTAGATTCCATCTCCTCTTGTCTATTCAAAGATGTAGCTCCAGTAATTCTGCCCTCTTTTTCCTCCACGATGCATTTTCCTTTTGCTAGAAGAACTTTCTTGTCAACATACAAATATGCTTCTTAAAAAATTCTTGAGGACTTCCCTGGTGATGCAGTGGTTAAGAATCTGCGTGCCAATGCAGGGGACATGGGTTTGAGCCCTGGTCCAGGAAGATCTCACATGCTGTGGAGCAACTAAGCCCTTGCACCACAACTACTGAGCCTGCGCTCTAGAGCCAGCAAGCCACAACTACTGAGCCCGTGAGCCACAACTATTGAAGCCCACACCCTACAGCCCATGTGCCACAACTACTGAGCCCACATGCTGCAACTACTGAAGCCTGTGCACCTAGAGCCCATGCTCCACAACAAGAGAAGCCACCGCCATGAGAAACCCACACACCGCAAGGAAGAGTAGTCCCCGCTCGCTGCAACTAGAGAAAGCCCGTGCGCAGCAACAAAGACCCAATGCAGCCAAAAATAAAGAAAATTTTTTTTAAAAATTCTTCACTTGACCCCACATACTCTTCCAGCCACTGCCCCATATTTCTCCCTCCCTTAAAAGGAAAATTTCTTAGATGAATCTCTATAGTCACAGTCTCCAGTTGCTCTCTACCTATTCTCTTACACCCCTGTCAGGCATTTACCCCTACCACTCTACAAAAATTGTGTGCATCAAGGGCATGGATAACTTCCATACTGCTAAGCATAATGGTCAACTGGTAGTTCTTATCCTAATTAACCTTTCAGTAACCTTTGATACAATTGCTTCTATCTCGTCAATAAAATCCTATCATCACTTTGCTTACACACAGGCCATTCTTTCTGCCTCCTTTACTAACCTGTGGAAGATGAAGTATCTAATGAGTTCAGTCTTCTTCTCTTTTCCATCCAGCCTCACTCCCTTCATGGTCTCCTCTGGCCTCACAACGTTATGTCACAAATTTACATCCCTAGTCTGTATCCCCACTATCAAATGCAGACTAGTAAAATCCCACTACCTTTCTGATATCTGTACGTGGCTGTCTAATGGGTACTCCACAAGTATAATGTTCAAAAGTGGATTCTAGAGCTTCCTCTCCAAACTGTCTATTTCCACTCTTCCCCACCTTAGTTATCAGCAATTTCACCTTTCACGTAGCTCAGGCCAAAATCCCAGAGCCACCCTGGTATCTATTCCTCTCTCATTCTACAACCAATATGTCAGAAAACTCAGTTAGTCTTACATCCAAACTACTGCTAAAATTCAAATGTATTGCCACCACCACTGCTAACACCCTGGTCCAAGCCACCTACCACCGTCTCTTGCCTGCATGATTGCAGTAACTTCCTGATTTTCCCCCTTATTCTACTATTGCTCCTTTCAGTCTATTCCAAACCCAGAAGTCAGACTGACCCTGTTAAAATATAAATCAGGGATTTCTGGCTCCCTGTATAGCTCATCCCTCTCATTAATTACAATTACAAACCATGGACAAAATACAATAACCTGAGGGGCCTTGAAAAGTAAACAATAAACAGGCTGATTCTGGAGCATTATTTTACAAGTACATTAAGTTCAATGGCATACTGTGTAGCCATCAAGCTTTATGTGTATAAACATTGAAATTTCCAATAAATGATTTTATTTCATAGAGTACATATAATTTTTTAAATGTCTTTAACAACATTTTATATTAACATGTTCAAGTTATAACCATTAACAAGTAAAAATCTTGAAAGCATAACTATAATTTGTTCATGAAACATTTATAAACTTCTTTATGACAAAATTACGTATGAATGCGCAAGGTGATGCTGTCAAAATTAGATTTTTTAAAAATCAAGAAAAATATGTCATGAACAGCAAATACCAAGGTAAAGAAGGAAGCCGAGACAGTCAACAACATTTATCAAATACTATAAACTACTATATCAGGTACCATGAGGACTGTAAGGAAATAAATTCAGTAATAGCTGGCACAGAGCACCAGGAAACTTTTTAGTTATTCAAATTCACTTGGTCCTCACAATAACACTAAGGGGTAGGCACAATTATTTTCACCACCTTAGTGACCAGGAAACAGGCTAAAGAAGTAAGTTGTCCAAGGTCATACTGTAAGTAGTTGGCGGGAAAGGGAGTCTAACCTAGGCCTCTGGCTCCAGAGTTCTCATTCAAGCACTATACTATGTTGCCTGTTTGAAGAAAGAAAATATAATAGTAAAAGACGCTTAAAATTTATTTTAAAATATTAAGATTGTGGTCAAAATACACTATGTTAAGTCCTTCAACATAAACACACATGTATAGAGACATGACGAAGATTAATGTAAAAGCTGATAAATACCTGGTGTTCCAATGGCTCTGACATATGAGAATGCAATGTTCGCTTTTCCTTTCAGAGCATTTTCTGTGTTCTGAAGGTCTCCCAGAGTGGTAATATATTTTACTTCATTAAAAAGAAGAGCACTGAAATAAATAAAGATGTAGTTGGTAGAAAAATCTGACATGTACTTAGTTATTTAATACGTATTTTGAGTAGGTTAAAGAACCTAATCAAAAAAGAAATTTAATCTTTTGAACAAACTCTCAATAGTAAGAACCTAAGCATTTCAAGTCTGAATTAAAATCACCCTCTAAATCATTAGTCTGTCACTGAGAACATTAACCAGGGACAGTTGTGAGAAATAGTGTGCGTATCCTCCATCACAACCACCTCAATACACCTCAATTTAAACTGTATTTACTAGCATCCTATTCTGGACAAATAATCCCTTACAAATCTCTCAGCCATGGATACATTTCAGCCCTTCACACATCTATACTGAAATCATCTTTCCATGGCCTATAGGGCCCTGAATGGTAAGCCTTGTCTACTTCTCCAACATCATTTTGTACTACTATTCCTCATGTCTACCCTACTTTAGGCAACACCCCAGGGCATTTGCACACACCATTCTCTTTGTTGAAAGCTGTTCCCTTCTTATATATCTGGTCTCAGCTTAAACATCATTGACTTAAGAGAAGCCTCCCTTGTTGGTCCTATATAAGTAGGTCTGTAGCATTTTCCTCTTGAATTTCACACTATTTAATCCTTTGTAGGATCAAATTTATAATTATTCACATATATTTTTTTACTTGTTTATCCCTGCCTCTTTCATTAAACTGTTACCTTCTTGTGACAGGGACCTTGCATGTTTTATCACTATATCCATAATAACTTAGAATAGAACCTGGTACATTGTAAGTATTCAATAAGTATTTGTTCAATGAATGACAGAAAACATAGAGCAGGAATCATTTATTGCCATTCTTCATTTGAACAAATAGAAGATCAAATCAAAACACTGAAGAGCTTACTTACTCAAAAACACATATACTGAACTGAGGAGCCAGGAACAGAACATAGAACAGGTCTTCTCACTCTTAATTTAGTGATCTTTCCACCTGACCATAATTCTTCCAAATCATCTTTTTTTTAATATAATCTCTATTTATTTATGTTTATTTATTTGGCTGTGCCGGGTCTTAGTTGCAGCACACAGGATCTTCGTTGTGGCATGTGAGATCTAGTTCCCTGACCAGGGATCAAACTCGGGTCCCCTACACTGGGAGCGTGGAGTCTTAACCACTGACCATCAGAAAAGTCCCCCAAATCATCTTTTTAATGTATAGATCAGAATAACTGATCATATTTCTTCATCCAAAAGAATTTCATTTAAAAATTTTCTACTTCTATATAAATTCTCTATCACTAACAACTAACTTCACTTAATCTCCACATGTATATCTGTGTGTGTGTGTGTGTGTGTGTGCATGTGTGTGCGTATTTTTGTTAAGCTAAACTTTAAGAATTTTTGAAAGCTGTTCCAACTCCACAGACTTAAGTAAGCAAAAGTTCACTCCAATAAATTAGTCAATCATAGTTTCCTCTTACGGAAAACATAGCACTTTCCACTAATATAGCAATTCTCAGACTTTTTGGTCTCAGGATCCCTTTATACCCTTAAAAATTATTGAGCTCTTCAAAGGGCTTTTGTTTATGTAGGTTACATTTATTAATAGTTGCCAAAATATAAATTAAAATAGCAATTAAAATATTTATTAATCCCTTAAAAATAGGGGCTTCCCTGGTGGCGCAGTGGTTGAGAGCCCACCTGCCGATGCAGGGGACGTGGGTTCGTGCCCCGGTCCGGGAGGATTCCACGTGCCACGGAGTGGCTGGGCCCGTGGGCCATGGCCGCTGGGCCTGCGTGTCCGGAGCCTGTGCTCCGCGACGGGAGAGGCCGCAGCAGTGAGAGGCCCACGTACCGCAAAAAAAAAATAAAAAATAAAAATAAACACCATTGCATATTAACATAACACTTTTTTATTAAAAATAACTAAATTTCCAAAAGGAAAGAAAAATCCAATGAAAAGAGTGGCCTCGTTTTACATTTTTGCAAGTCTCTTTAATATTGGACAAATTGAAGACAGGTGGATTCTCTTATCTGCTTCTTCGTTCACTCTGTTGTGACATCACACACACAGCACAAAATGTAGCCTCTAGAAACCGCACTCATAAAAGAAGGAAAGTGAAAAAGGCAAACATCTTAGTGTTATTATAAAAATATCGTCACTTTGGGAGCACCCTGAAATGGCTGCCCTAAATTACACTGCTTAAATATTTACCTATATATTACAGATTTCAACTTTTTAAAAGAAATGTAAAACTTGAATTTCTATACGTCCCAGGGCTCTTGTTTTGTTTTTAAAAGAAATATTTACTGGGCAGTACTCACTACTTGCTAGATATTTTCACATGTTTTCATTTAAATCCTCAACGATATTCTTGGGAAATTCTTTATTACACACACATACACACAGAGGAAAGAACCTCAGGGATTAAGTAACCTGCTCCAGGTCATACCAGTAGTCACTGATAGAGCTGAGATTCTAATCCAGGTCTTCTGACACTTTGCCCGTAACTTTCTAAACTATGTTATTACTGACCACTCATACATGGTAAACCAGGTAAAAAGGGAGGCAACTAATGAATAGCCACAGAGTCTCAGTGGCGATCTGGGCTACTGGCTACTTATACGTTTTGGCTAGCAAGACCAGAATTACCCTTGAGTTACTTCAAAACTGCTGGAAGACACCATCTAGTGAAGTAATTGGGCTGCCGTGTAAATTCTCGGCTTGGGAATGACATCCATCCATTTACCTTTACTTCTCTAGCAGCTCTAATCCATTTGCTTCAAAAATCTAACCTAGGAGTAGAAATAACCCTAACGTTTTTTCTCAATAAAGACCAGCAAATATAAATTGATAAAAGCCAATGTTTGGGGGGACACTTCCCACATGTCAGGTATAGTACTAAGTACTATATAAGTAGTGGCAGTTTATCAGTTTTGGGATTGCCTGTCTCTTCTGCTTTGGGAATTCCCAGTTTTCTAAGTCTTCATGGTGGGCAGAGCCCAAGTCCCCACATACAAGCTACTAATACTGTAAATTGCTTTTCCAGGCTCCCTGCTGCTAGGCTATATGACCCAGAATCACTTATCTGACATCCCAGACTGGGAGCTAGTGATGTAAAGAATCAGGAGCAGTGCAGAATTATTTCCAGAGGCAGCAGCAACAGTCAGCTTTGAAGGCAGGAATGACAATAGTGCTAATGACAGCTGTAGTGCTAGCAATGCAAGTTGTGGCGTCCAGTGCCCAGAAGTAATGCAGCAGTCCCCCGGAGACTAGCTCCGTGCCATGATTATGAGCCGAATAATTCAGAGCCAAATAAACCTGAGTCCAGTTCTCCAACCCTTCTAGTGAGCCTGAGATTTCCTATATCTGCTCTAAATCCTTTTCTGCTTAAGCCAGTCAGACCCAGATTCTGGGGCTTATAACTAAGAACACCCAACAGTACACTCAGCTGTGCTTAATTTTCATGGCAACCATGTGAGATCAGTACTATCATTAACTCCATTTTACAGATAAGGTCATGGGCCTTAAAGAGGTTACCTTGCCTAATGTCCCAAAGCTCATTAAAGAGTCATTATCCAAGAGGTAATAATACCAAAACTAATGACATTCATAATCTCACGATCTCCATGATTGCTCCCAATGGCTTCGTAACTTTAATATATTTTTTAATGTTAATTTCCAGAATATGGGGACATCTAGGGATCTCTAGGATCCATTCCATGAGCCTGTGCTCCTTCACTCCAGTTCCAAAGTGGAGAAATGCGTTAAAGGAAAAGTCTGTCTTGCGATTTTCTTCCTCTATAGGTGAGGTAAAACAGCCTGAGGCTGCTCTGACCTGGGAGCTCTTCCTGCCCCAGAAAGGCCTTCCTTTTCCTTGGCATACTCTTCCAGAGACCCTCCTAACACAATCATTAGGTAGATAAGATATATGGCCAAGACCTGAATGGGTGTCAGAAAAAAAAAAAAAAAGAACTCAGGAGTCCACCTGACCCCACTTTTAGAGCAGCAGGTTGCTCAGCCTTTTTTCAGAAAAAAAAGACCACTTTTACATCATATTTCTGCCATTATTCAAATTCTAAAAAACCCAATAAAAGCAAAAAGTTACCTTCTATTTTGCCTTACCAAAATTCCTGGGGGGGGGGAAGCAAAGAGAGAGGAGGAGAAAGAGGGAGAGATGAAGGAGACAGACAAATTACTTTTACCTAAATTAATTACAGTTGACCCTCAGTATCCATGGGTTCCACATTTGCAGGTTCAGCCAACTGCAGGTGGAAACTATTTGGAAAAAATAATTCCAGAAAAGTCTAAAAAACAAAACTTAAATTTGTCATATACTGACAACTATTTACACAGCATTTACATTGTATTAGGTATTATAAGTAATCTAGAGATGATTTAAAGTATACGGGAGCTACTAGAGCTAATCAATGAATTTGGTAAAGTAGCAGGATACAAAGTTAATGCACAGAAATCTCTGGCATTCCTATACACTAATGATGAAAAATCTGAAAGAGAAATTAAGGAAACACTCCCATTTACCACTGCAACAAAAAGAATAAAATACCTAGGAATAAACCTACCTAAGGAGACAAAAGACCTGTATGTAGAAAACTGTAAGACATTGATGAAAGAAATTAAAGATGATACAAATAGATGGAGAGATATACCATGTTCTTGGATTGGAAGAATCAATATTGTGAAAATGACTATACTACCCAATGCAATCTACAGATTCAGTGCAATCCCTATCAAACTACCAATGGCATTTTTCACAGAACTACAACAAAAAATTTCACAATTTGTATGGAAACACAAAAGACCGCGAATAGCCAAAGCAATCCTGAGAAAGAAAAACAGAGCTGGAGGAATCAGACTCCCTGACTTCAGACTCTACTACAAAGCTACAGTAATCAAGACAATATGGTACTGGCACAAAATCAGAAAGACAGATCAACGGAACAAGATAGAAAGCCCAGAGATAAACCCACGCACATATGGTCACCTTATTT